GCGGTTCTAATCGCCCAGCCTCCCCCCTCCTCCCTCCACCAGATCGGAACACACTGGCCGTAACGTAAAATGGAAACAGCCGTCGCGTCGTTCCGGCGCCGTTTTCGCAAGGCCGCCGGCAAACTGATTCCGAGAGTCGCTTTCGTCGCTCTGTCTCTCTCGCACTCATGGGGCGTCCCGTATGGGTGCGAGAGAGACAGAGCGCGGTCCGCGGGCGCCAAGTGGCCATCCGGCAAATCACGCCGCCATGCCGCAGCGCGCCGCGCCCCGAAGGCCCTGGCGGCCCTGCGGTCCTTACGCGGAGGGCTATTGATTCGGACAAAGTAAGGGACACCCCGCGGAAGCGCGAAGGGCGAAGGGCTGCCCGAGGCGCCCCGCCCCCGCCCCCACCCCCACCCCGCCCCGCGCGCGGAGGATAGCCCGGCTTGAGCGACCCCCGAGGCACGGCGTGGCGTGGCGGCACGGAGGCAGCCTCAGCGGCGGAGCGGAGCGGAGCGGGTGGAGCGCTGTTGACTTGCCTGCCACCGCCACCGCGGAGGTGGACTCGAAATCCATACATAGTTGGCTCCCACCCCGTCCACGGCCACCCCGCTGGGCCGCCCCGCGCCGCGCAGCCCCGCACCAGTAGCGCGGGCAGCGGGGCTAGCGCCATGCTAGCGCCACGCTAGCGCCACGCTAGCGCCCCTCCCCCCGCCCTACATAGGTCCCTCCGCGAGCGCGCCGCCCACCCCCGCCGTGCATCCACCCCGGGCCCCGCCCCGCCCCCGCCCACCCCGCCCACCCCCGACCGCTGCGGGGGTTTGTTCGTGAGCAGAATGAATGAGACTCTCGTCGATTCCTCGCGCCGAGCGAGACCGACCCGAGCGAGGCGCGCACCCTCTGGAGCGTCAGCCGCCCGAAGGGTCTCGCTCTGTCTCTCTCGCACCCCTACGGCACGCCCCGCGAGTGCGAGAGAGACAGACCCCTCGGAATGGGGCGGCAGGCCACCCTCGACCTTCTGGCACTGCAGGCTGGCTCCGAGCCCTTCGTCACTCTGTCTCCCTCGCACCCCTCAGGCCTGCGGCGCGCGCAAGGAGTGCGAGAGAGACAGAGCGAGACGGCTCCGCGGAGGCGGCGACGCACAGTGGGCCAGAAGACCGGTGGAGGCGGCCAAAACTCTACACGCGTTTTGAGCTCCAGGGTCGCTAAATGACACTCGAACCGAGCGTGTGACCCCACCAATGGATTCCTCGTTCGGAGAGCAATCCATTCGTGGGGTCACACGCTCGGTTCGAGTCCCATTTAGCGACTCTGGAGCTCAAAATGCGTCGAGGGTTTTGGCCGCCTCCACCGGTCTTCTGGCCCACTGTGCGACGCCGGGTGACGCGCCCCTTGTCGGGAAGCGAGGAAATCAACTTTGAATCGGCGGCCAGAAAAGATGGTTTGGCCGGGCGGACGCGGAAGACGAGGTAACGTCGTTTGTCATCGTGTTGGGGTCGCTGGGGTGTCCCTGTTCGCCACTACACTGCGACGCAGCGCGCTGAGAAGGACACGCTGAGAGATGACGTGACATGACATCACCCCCAAGTTACGCACAATGACACCATCATCGTGGAGACTTCGTCAGAAAACGACCGGCCGAAATTTGGGCCAGCCTCGTTCGAACTCCCCGGCAGGCACAGCACCTGGCGCGGGCAGAGAGAGAGAGAGAGACGGAATGCACTGTGAAATATCTCCTCTCGTTTCTTTTCATTTCGTTACGCACTTCCTGCCTTGCACAGCGCGCACATGGACTGGGCCGACTCGGTGACGCAACACTACCAACACACGGCGGGCCTGTGGTGGGGCGGGGCGGGGTGCGGTGGGGTGCGGTGCGGTGGGGCGCGGTGGGGCGCGGTGGGGCGCGGTGGGGCGCGGTGGGGCGCGGTGGGGCGCGGTGGGGCGCGGTGGGGCGGGGCGGGGCTGGACGGGGTGCGGTGGGGTGAGGCCCACGAGATCATTGTGCCCACCAACGTCCCCGTCTCTCCGGTTGAAACCAGACCGTTGAAGCGCTGCAGCGCGCGACGGCCAAATTTTCCCCCAAATGGACCGATGGGACCGATGTGTTCGCGGACACGACGCGTCCCTAACGAGCGATCGATGCTGACGCTGCGATTCGCGGACAAACCGATGATGACACAAACACAGTGCAGCCGCAGACGGCCGTTGGCAAAAACAGTGCAGCCGCAGACGAGCTTGGCAAAAACAGGCGTTGTTTTGGCGGGCAAGCTCGGATCCAGGGAGCAGGGAGGGGGGCGGAAGGACAATTGTCCTCCCATTGACCCCGCGACAGCCGCCTGAAAAGTATACGCAAAAGGCAAACACTTTTGCCCCTGTAAGTAGGCGAACAGTGACACCTCGAGTCGTACCGCTGAGTAAACGGAGGGTAAAAAGGACTCGAACCGAACGTGTGACCCCACCAATGGATTGCTCTCCGAACGAGGAATCCATTGGTGGGGTCACACGTGCGGTTCGAGCCCTGTCCAGCGACTCTGGAGCTCTAAACGCGTCCAGAGTTTTGGCCGCCTCCAGCGGTCCTCTGGCAAATCCACAGTGCGGCGTCCCAGGAATCGCACGACAAGCGACAAGCCGCCCTCCGGACCATTTAGACCATTTATCCAATGGAGCGAATGGCGGCGCGGCGCGGCGACGCCACTGCCGCGCCACTGCGCCGCCCCCGTCGCGAGGCTAGTTGTCGTGCAGCAGACTCACTCCGAGAGAGTCGTCGCTCTGTCTCTCTCGCACTCATGGGGCGTCCCGTGTGGGCGCGAGAGAGACGGAGCGACGAAAACGACTTCCGGAATCAGTCTGCTGCAGCGCCGAGTGGCGCCGAATTAGGGAAGCTTTGGCCGGCTTTGGCGGATTCGGGGTCCTGAATGAGGAAGCGTCGCCGCGGGCCACGCTTGCAGTGCAGTGGCTTGCAGTGCTCTAACGCGGGGATAGTGTTTATTGATTGGTGTACCGTATGACTCATCAGCAGCCAGAGAACCCCAAGCAGCACTCCCTCCTCCACACACCCTCCGCCTGCCCACCCCTCGCCCGCCGTTGTCGCCACAACCGGAGAGGGTAGCAAGGGTCAGGCCGCAGGCCTTGCTAGCCTTGCTGCAGGCCGATGCCGAGCGGGGCGGTGGCGGTCTCTCTCGCACCCACACGGGACGGGCCATGAGTGCGAGAGAGACACCTCGGCTTGAAGTCAGTCCGCTGGGGGCGGGGTGAGGACCGGGCGAGCCCGTCGCGATCGACAAGTGAAGTGCAAACAACCCCGCCACTGCACTGACTCCAACGACAGTTGTTGACTCCTGAAACAATGGCTACAAAACAGGACCGGCGATATGATATTTTAAAATTTTTTGACACGGTCTGAGACCACGATTTCGACCACATGATTAAATTATTGCGGGTTCTTGCGCCTGGGTGTGCGCGCAATGCATATGTATGCGTGTGTCACACATTGAGTCATTGTCACTGTACTGGCGGCGACTGGCGGCCACGCTGCCGCCCTGCGTCACGGCACGTAGGCACCCGGCCTTCCCCGGCGGCGGCGGCACTCGTTCCGAGAGTCGTTTGCGTCACTCTGTCTCTCTCTCACTCACGGGGCGTCCCGTACGGGTGCGAGAGAGACAGAGCGACAACTGCCGCCACTGCGCATGCGTCGACGTCAGCCCGTGCGCAACACTCATGCGTAGTGACCGTAGTGACAGGGACGTCGCTGCGGTCGCCGCGCGTCGCCGCGCCACTCAGGCCAAAGTGACGTCAGACGCCGTCACAGCGCGAAATAGCGGGTACCTGGTAGAGAGTCCTCTGGAGGAGCGTACCTGCACTGTGCACCGTGCTCATCCGTGACGTCACTATCATTCCGAACAGCAGCGCTGTCTCTCTTGCGCCCACTGCACGCCCCACGAGTGCTCCAGTCGCCAGTCTAAGACATTGCCGGGTTTCGGCCGCAAGCCCTCCGTCAAGGACAAGGGTCTCGCTTACATGCGGCAGAACAACGCGAACCTAGCCGAGCAGTGCGTGATTTTCAAGTTCAGTTACTGTACAGTGTGCTGGAAGGTGTGCTAGGTCCGTCAGGTTAAGACAGCCGGGCACGCAGTGGACGGGTAGTGGACGGGTAGCGGACGGGTAGCCCGGCACCGTTCCGTTTGGTGGCGCAGCAGGCAGGCAAGCAGCAAGGTGTGCAGGTCAACGAACCAGCCGCAGAGCCGCAGCCGTGGCGGGGCGGCCTGGACAGCCGGGGCCCGGACGGACCGGCCGGGGCCCACGGCGGAGTGCCGCGTAGCGGACTGGCCCTGGAGACCCCGGGGCAGGCCCCGCAGCCCCGCACAGCGAGGCGCCGCCGACGACGCCCCGATCATCCTCCTGAGATACTATGAGAATGTCAGCAGCGTGTTCCCGAACCGCCGATTTGATAAGAATTCTGCACGTTTGCAGCAGGACTTGAGGCGTTTGCCAGAGGCATTATCGCTTGGTTGTGTGGACTTCCCTTGTCGGCTAAACCGGAGAATGACCGCACTCGTGGACCGCCGTGTGATTCACACTGAATGGACAACTTCATTCTGATCTTCTGATCGTCTAGTTTGGCAATTCCAGAGTTCGAATTTTAAGTAAAAGGGTCTTGTCTTGAAATCACTTATTATTCTTTTCTCTCTTTCTCTCGGTTTTCACAGACATAAGCCTTCTTTCCTTGAATTGAATGAATGAATGAATGAATGAATGAATGAATAGCGGCTCTTGAAAGTGAGCAAACTTTGCTTTGCAAGCTCATCGTCAGTTAGGTGTTTGGTAACTAAACTGCAGTAACTTTTGTAGTAGCCTTCTTTGATTCATTAGTCTCTGTGGTAGACGTTTCAGTGAGACAATAGACTTTCAACATTGATTTTGTTTGCTTTCTTTCTTTCTCTCTCCTTTTTTCTTTGTTTGTTTTGACAGGTGTGTTTGATGAAGGGTTGGGAGTGTATTGAGTGTGGAAGGAAAACATTCAATTGCAATAAAACATTATTTAATCTTCACATATGTTACTATCTACATTATTTGAACTCCTAAAACAGAGCCCATAATCACATATGTACAGTTCATGCAGAGATGCATAGATGCAATATAATATTCATTTAATTTGGGCAATGGAAATTTTTGATAAATTTTGACTGTTTGCACCAAAACAAATTATTCTGAGGAATATATAGCCTCTCAGTGTCATTAATAATTATCGATATCAGTTGAAAAAAAACATGGTCAATCTGAGTGAAATTAGTCTCACATGATAACAGTTTTTTCCTCGGCGAACTGGAGTTTAGAGAGCAACAACTGTGCTCCCTGTATACCCCCACCACGGTCGGGGCTGCAGCTCTGGAGTCACCTGCAGCACAGCCCGCAGGTCGAACCACAGCCAAGCCCAGCACGGCAGCGACGGCCGTTGTGGGGGCCGCAGGGGCACCTTTGACTATCGCCTCCCAGATGCGCTCCAATAAAGATATGCCTTCTCAAAAGCACAACAAACCCTTGAAACGGAATGTGACACTCGTGAATTTATAGGAATTTTCAGGGTTTTCCTTGATACCTTATAGAGATTCCTGTACGCCCTCGGCGTAGCACAGCGCAGTCAAACAAGAATACACAATGGGAGTTTACTGAGCCTTAAAAACCATAAGTAAATCCACGACTAGATAAGTACTCAACGCGAAAGGACCCCCCGGTTCAGCAAGAGGGACTGCCCGCAAATTGGATAAGCATTTTTGGACTTCCCCTACCCATAAATAATCTTGGACCCACATCTCACATATGATTACGCTAATATTTTCCCCGCCCCTCCCCCCTCCCAGCAGGCCGCAGCCAATTTAGGGGCAGTCCCCCTCGATAGCCAACTCTTGGGCCGCGGGGTCGTGGGGGCGTCGAAACGGGTCCAAAATGATAAATCCGGCCTGACAACAGCTTAAGTGGCACCTGGATTTTAAGGCATTTTTTCCTTTCCAAAATAAGGTCAACCAAATTTTTCTAAAAAATAAAAAAGAGAAAAAATAAACGAACACATTGCAGGGAAGTCCCCCAATTTTTCAAACATACGCCCAACAGAGGAAAAATAATAACAAAATTAACAAGTCACAGCACAGCACCGCACGTCGACGACCGCCATCCAACACCAAAGGCGCCAAAGGAGGCCAAAGGCTCACCCAGTCACTCGGACCACTATCACAATCCTTGCAAGGCATGCCGGGCTCATATAAAAGTACAAATTAATTGACAGTCCTAACCAACAGCAACGCACACGCCCTCCCGATGCGGTCAACAACAAACAACAACAACAACATTATACTGTCATGGCGATGAAAGGCCTCTGCTGTAACGCGTCGACGCCCTCCTTGGCCTGTGCCGAGCACAGGTCCGGGGTGGACACCGATCTGGTGAGCTTGAGGTCCGACAGGTCCGTTAGGTCCGTGGGTGACGGGTTGTGGCCGCCGCCTCCGCCGCACGCCAGCGGGCCGTGCACTCCGTGCAGTGGGCCCGCCAGCCCGCCGAAGCTGAAGATGGACACGAGGCTGGTGATGCGGTCGATCTCCATGGCCGAGCGCGCCGGCTGGTCGTCGTCTTCATCCTCGTCGTCGTCGTCCTCCGCCGCCGCCGCGGCAGCCTCCGCGAGGTCCTTGGCGGCCGCCGCGCTGTTCTCGGGGGTGGTCGGCGACGCGGTGGGCGCGTCGCAGCACTTGGACTTCTTGGGCAGGATGGACTGCACCGCCTCCTCCGTCTCCCACTCGGCGACGCGCCGCCGCTTCAGACACTTGGGCGACGAGCAGGACGCGTCGGCCGAGGTCCTCAGCACCGCCGTGGTCTTGTCCAGGTCCAGGTAGGTGGGCGGGGGCTGGCACGACGGGCACTGGTTCTCCTTGTCCTCGAGGGAGGCGCTGCCGCTGCTGCACCGCGAGCACGTCGACGTCGACGACGCGTCCTCGGCGTCCTGGTCGCGCTCGCTCTGCTGCTGGCTGCTCGCCGTCATGATCCCCGTCGTCGTGGACGTCGTGTCCTGCTGCTGCGACGCCGCAGCCGCAGCTGCCGCGGCCGCCGAGTAGCACTCGGACGCCTGCACCATGTGGTACGCCTCCTCCATGAAGATGTAGCGGGCCTTCTGCAGCACCGTGGCCACCAGCAGGTTCTTGTGCAGGCTCACGCCGCCGCGCTGGGTGCGCGACTGCGCGATTTTCGACAGCGAGATGCTGATGAGCTTTTGGGCCTCCGTTGCCATTGTCACAAACATAAACACGTCACGGCACGCACTAGTTCACTGTGATGTTATCCTCTGAACGCTGGGTTCCAGGTGCGCTGGGGGTAATCCGTCCGCTGGCCGCAAGCCGTGTCACAGTCACCGTGTGCACAGTGTGCAGCACTGCGATGCGTGGGCCTTCCACTCAAGCCTCCTCGATTCGATTCCTCGATCGCTCCCTCTACTCTCGCTTGTCTCTGCGCACGTCCGCACTGCACAACGCACTCCACTAGAATGCCCGCTCCCCGCCGCCTGCACCCATATAAGTAACTTTCCGTCGCTGTGACGTCACGGCCTACTTATCAACCAATCGCATGCCCGTCCTTCGCGAGCCGTGCGACGCCAGCAGCTCGCGGCGCCATCTAGCGGAGCGCGCCGGTACCACGTCGGCGCGTCTCGTGCAGGCTGGGCAACTGGAGTTGTGCGTAGCTCTGCAGAATACCATTGTAGCCAAGTCTCTCGAAACTTGCTGAGTTGACGCAATTCGTGTCGAAGAAACGGGTCTAAACAGGCTTCGCTTCACTGACAAAAATACCATTGTATGTAAGTTTGAAATGTTGTAGCGTTCATTGGATGGACAGTGGATTTTACTTGGCGTCTGTTGGCAAAACTGTTGGTTTGCATGTCCGGAACAGAGTGGCGCGATTTCCAACGCCATGAAAATGAGGAAATATATTTATCGGCAGTGGCTTGCCGGAAAAGAACGCAATTTGATTTTCTTGAAAAGCCATCCATGCCAAACCATGTCTTACAAACGTTATCCTTTCAAGATATATTCCCTTAGCCTATATTTGGATCACCTCATATGAAAGCGACTAACTTTGCCGATACAGTCATTTCCTCTGCGTGATGCAGTAATCAAGCTCTTCAGAAACGTGGTAATTATCGAAAATTAACACTGAAATAAAGTGCATCAATGTAATTGACATGAATCCATTTGGCAAATTTTGTACTCTATTTGAACAACCCGCGTCAAACACCGAGACAATCGAAGGGTGACAGTGATCGATACTCAGTAACTAGAGGCGTTGCTCCTAGAGGGCGCTTTTCGTATAACCAGACAAAACCAGACGAAAATGCTGTCTGGAAAGAGCATTTTAGCCGTCGTATTTTAAGTGGTGCGATTATAATGCGACGGGATCGGTTTTAAATCCGAGCTTTTCTCGACATCGGGGAAGGGAAAGGTAGCCCAGGTACACGGAGCCTCGGTTCCCGAGATGTGAGTCCGACGGCTCCGAACGGCATGATGTTGTCTGCAGACGCCCATAACCCAGCAGACTACACCTAGTCTCAACTATTGTGTTATTCCTTTGGATTCTGAATGAATAGCACCACTTAAAAGAATCCACTCGGTGGTATGTTGAACGGATGTCTTGATCTTGGCTACTTTGTCTTAATTCTTGTCTCAGACTTCCTCCATGTTAACACTAAATTCTATTTGTTGTTGTCTCTTATCTGGGCCTGTCAAAGATTTTTGACAGAAGCATTGAACTTTTTAAATTGAAAATTCTTGTTTCATACATTTGTTTTCCTAGTGTGTTAAATTCTAACTCCTTGCTCTCATGACATGTTGTAGATTTGAAAATGTCTGGAGGTGAGCGCAAAGTAAAGCGCCACCCTAGAGGACAGGGGTGGGAAGAAGCTGGTGGCGAATTTTATCAAGAAAGCTATCCTGGAGGAGAGGCTGAACTGGAAGCGATGCACCAGAACCCCTCTAACATTGCGACTCTGCTGCCAAGCAAGCAGAATCGGACTGGTGAGCATTCTTTGAATACCTTGCACATAATGGCTTTGCCAGTTGAATGGTAGAGTTCATTCTCTTAAAATTCCAGCCACATACTCCAAAATGTACGATGCCAAAACAACAATGAGGAGGAGGACAGCCAACAGGACAGCCAATAGAGCGCAATACCAGACCACTGCCAGGAGACCATCTGCCTCTGCTGCTACTGCTGCAGCCACTGATGTAGCATCAATGTTACCCGACCTCTCTGGTATTTTCTTGTAGACCTACTCGTAATTTTTTTTTTTTTGAATTAAGTTTGCACTTCCTAACAAAGATTTCCATGCATGCAGAAAATTTGTCAAATGAAGAGAGAACATGGGAGGAAATAATGCAGATCAAAGCTCTACCTGTCAGCATGGCACAAAAAAAGGAGCACAAAGCTAAGTTACAGGTAAATTCATTGATTTAATTTTGAAATTATTTGATATGCTTGAGTATTTTATTTCTCAAATTAGTTTAAAGTAAGGTTCTTGCAAATGATTTTTTTCTCTCTTTGCCTGACAGAGCCAAACAAAGTTAAGACTGCAAGGACTAGAACAACTAAAATGGCAACGCCGTAAAATGTGGCAGCGGTTAAGGAGATCCTGGTCTGAAGCTTATGCGAAAATGGAACTCTGGAGGCACAGTATGAAAGAAGTGGAGGGTGACTTTGGAACTGGGGTTGTGGCATATTTTCTGTTTATCAAGTGGCTCATGTTCCTTAATCTTGGAGTTTGCACTCTTATGGTTTTGTTTATTGTCCTCCCTGCTGTTTTTCTTGTGAGTAATGAGCTTTTATTATGAGTGAGCTCAGTTTGAAAAAATGCATCAGTTTAAATTACTGTCTTAATTTTTTTAGAAACCTGCTCAACAATTCCCAGAATGTAATTTGAGCAACAACTTCACAGGGCAAGGCTCTGTTGAATGCTGTTCAGCACAGTATGCCAACACCACCTCTGAGCCTGCAGAAAATATTTTCATGCAGTTCATTCAAGGAAGAGGAATTGTAGAACACACTCAGGCATTTTATGGAGTTTATCCTAATGTTGAGCTTACTCTCAATTCAGCAGCCTGGCTCAGTTATGACATGCCTTTGGCATATATTAGCCTTTCATTAGTTTTCATGCTGGTGAGGCATTGTTGTGATTTCATCGTCAGACAGAGACATCACCCCTTGATGAAATAACTGACCAAACTTCATGTCTTTGTCTAGGTGAGCTTAGCTGCTATTGTAAAATCAGCTGCCAAAGGATTCAAAGAGCGCCTTGTTGAGGGAGAAGGGCAGTTTTACCAATACTGCAATATAATTTTTTCTGGTTGGGATTTCTGCATAAAAAATGAAAAATCAGCATGTATTAAACACAAGGCAATTTTCAATGAGATCAAGGTAAATTTAAATTGTATCACTTCTTTGTGAATAATTGATGACTTTGCTGTAACTAAAACAATGTTTTTTGTACCTGCACAGGCAAGCATTGAGTCTGAGCGCATTGAGGAAGAGAGACTCACACGTTCGAAAGAGGAACGATTCAAGCTGTTTTCTGTGCGAGTTCTAGTGAATCTGGCAGTTTTTGTGCTTCTTATTGCTGCCCTTTATCTCATTTATGTTGTGTTTGACTTTTCGGTAAGTTTTTGAAAGAAGATAATCTTTATTTTTTACATATGTATTTGTAATTTGCTAATCATTTGATTCAATCTAAATTTATTTTTAGGCTCAGACTCAAACTGATTATATCATAGCCAACAATACATTACTAAGGCTTTTGTTCGAGTTCTTGCCATCTTTGTGTGTGGTTGGCCTGAACTTGGTAATCCCAATAATTCTGGGAATGCTTGTTCGCCTGGAGAGATACTCACCTGTTCTGATTGTGCGTATCACTCTCATGCGGACTGTTCTGTTACGTCTATCATCACTTGGTGTTGTGCTGCTGTCATTCTACCGCCAATTTAATTGTGATGATCCTTGCAGACCTGAAGTAAGTACTGGAAAGATTTTCCAAAAGCGATCATGCGTAACACTTTTGAAGTTAATCAATGTTAATGTGTGTGTGTGCGTTTAAAATAATTTTCAGGGTGCGGATGCCAAATGCAAGAAGCCCCTGTGTTGGGAGACCTATGTTGGACAACAATTCTTCAAGCTAATGCTTGTGGATTTTTTGTCACATATTGCGGTTACGTTCATTGTGAACTTCCCACGAGGTCAGCTTGCAAAATATTCCCACAATTCAGTAGTTGCATACCTGGGCGAGCAGCAGTTTGACTTGCCGAAGCATGTTTTGGATGTTGTGTACATTCAGACATTGTGCTGGCTGGGAAGTTTCTTTGCGCCAGTGTTGCCTCTCATGGCATCAATTATCTTCTTCTTTATGTTCTACATCAAGAAATTTGCCTGCCTGGTGAACAGCAAGCCTTCTACAATTCCTTACCGTGCATCAAGATCCAATTCATTATTCATGGCCGTGCTGCTTCTATCGTTTGTAGTAATGATCATTCCTCTAGGCTACACTATAGCTGAAAGGACACCTTCCAAATCATGTGGCCCTTTTCGTGGTTTGCCTTCTGTATGGTCAGTTATTGTTCGAACATTTGTGTCTTCTCCTGCATGGATAAAGCATGTGGTATTCTTTTTCACTACCGCAGGCTTTGCTGTACCAGCCTTTATCACTCTCATTCTTTGCCTCTATTATTTCTACGCTGTTTCAGCAGCAAATAAGCACATGGTGCTTGTTCTTAAAAATCAACTGGTGCTAGAAGGTCGGGATAAACAGTTTTTGTTGCATAGGCTTAGCCAAATTATTAAACAGCAACAAGAACATCATAAAGCCATGAGAGCTGCTGCTCAAAGTGCGCACATGAACAGCACTGACATTTCAAGTAGCACTTAAATCATTCTTAAAGGCATATCTGTCACTTTGTCCCACAAGGGTTACTAAACTGTGTTTGCCAAAGAACAAAAAAATATGTGGAGATTATTTTGCTGTAAATTACTCATGTTTTGCCATTGAGTGTAATGCAATATGATTGAAGCGAGCAGAACTGATGAGGGTGGTCCAGTGGCGACAATTGCGTTTCTAGTCAGATTTGAAACAATTTTAATTTTGTACATACATGTGTAACACTTAGGGAAAAAGAATCTTTTGTTTTGTTTTTTTAAGAAAGGACCGCTTCTCAGCAAGTTGGTAGCCTTTTCTTTTGTTTTTAAATCTATTTTATGTGAAATAGTACGGAAGCCATGCTCATATGCTTACGTATGAAGCTGCTCAAAGTAAGTGTTCAAAAAAAAAAAATTACTATGGTTGCTGCAGTATTATATTTATAAAGCTACCTGCTACATTGTTTTTAAGAGAGTTTTTCTTTATCCTTTTTTTTTTTTTGAGTTGGTTGAGACTTATGAGTTTTGGGTGAAAACTGTTTGCTCTTGTAGCTGAATGTTATTTTACCAGTTTGATTTAAAGGCTGTATGCATGATTATTTGTATTGCCTGATTTCCCATGCCCTACTTTTATAAACTAAGACCGAATTCTGCCTGTTTAAAGCAAACAAATCAAAAGCCATTGGGAAATTCCAATTCCAAAATAATGTTACCTTTCTGATTTAAAGCATTTATTTTAACTGATACCATTGTGTCTTGAAACAGTGTCCTCACAATTCTTAGATGATAAGTAAGATTTAAGTTATATATACTCAAAGATACTTCAATATTCAGTCACTCGTATTGGAATCATTAGCTTAGTCAGTGTTTTCATATATTGCAAGTGTGCGACCCTGTGTAGGTGAAGATGAAGAAGTAAGGTTGTGCAAAGAGCATACATAAACGCAGAAAACCAAAACGTTGCATAGAAAGTGTGCAATGAATACAAATGTAATGTTGTGCTTGCTGTTCTTTTTGGGATGAGATATTCCAAAACCTTTAATGTAATGTATACTGACTTAATGGCTTGAACAAACAGCTATTAGGTATCACGATTTTACTAACCCTTTTGGCTACCCATTTTCCTACTGGGTTGTTTGATTTCTTCTTTGTGCACTTTATCATTCCTTTGATCTGATCAATAGATGTAAAGTCTTCCTATTTTGATCATTATGTGATGTGGAATTTCTTGTCATAGTAAAAGTCTCCTAGCATTAGCTTTGATCTCTCAAGTGGGGTGTTCTGCACACCATTTATTGGATAGTTTAACTCTGGTCCACTTTAGAACATTGACTTCAAGAAGGCTGAAAATTTGCTGTGAGAAATATTATTAATTCGAATGTATCAAATATGATAAGATGTGATGAGAGTGAGTGTGTTCCTGATAAAATGGTATTTACCTCACCTTTTGAGGCGGCTTTGTGATAATCATCAGGCTTGTAGGATATAAATATTCCTTTGCGTTTCTTGATTGTACTTAGCCATCTATGTTATTAATACTGATTTATTTTCCTAATCATCCTGTTTTGCAAAATGAGGCATTAAGGAAAATTGTGTCCAGATATAGCAGTTGCCGTTGTTCTTCCAAAAAATGACCTGCCTATTTGATTAGGTATAAGCTATTGAAAAATATCAAGAATGGTGCTTTTACTGCTATTTAAATTAGAAGTTAGAAACAGCAATTTGTGCGCTATCATGATGAAATGAAGCTGTTCATTTAAAATAGAGTAATTGTATCTCTTCTGTTTTTATTGATGTAATCTTGAATCTCTTTTGCATTTGGTTGCCACCTTTGTAGTCAAGTAAATATTAGATAAGAGCCTTCCTTTCCAATTATATATCTCATAAAATGCAAATTGTACATACACATGATCTGATATTTTGTCATAAACATAGACTAAATTTTAGCTTTTATGCCCAGAATTAGACCACTTGGTCTGATAACATTCCCTCCTATCACCTTGCATTTGATAGGAACAGATAGTCTTGGTTTGACTGAAAAGTCCAAAATAACTTAACTTAATCAATGCCTTTGAAGCAAGAACAAATCAAACCTATTGCATTGCCTTGATGCCATGTTGTCCCAGGTGAAGTTTGTCATTTCATGGAAGACTTGCAACTCAAATACTCAAATCCTGTACTGCCTTCATTGAGAATGTCTACCCTCCATTCACTTGTTCCCAAAAATGACCCCCGATTGTATCAGTCAGTATGTATTAGACACACAATGAACCTAGTCTTAAACACTATCTTCTTATGTCTTTTGTACTAGAGACCGCAAGGTAACCAACTCATGTTCTCCTCCACTTTTATTTTTTGTATAACGCCGGACTTAATCTTGCAGCTTTTCTTCCAAGAGCTCCTTTGGAAAATAAATCCTGTTGTGAGATTCTGCTTTTGACTTAATATCCTGTTTATTACAACCATTATAATGAAATTGCCATTCCATGGGCTTCTCAGCACAAAATTAAGGACTGAACAGAAAGAAACATTATGCCAATGACAAATTGAAATTAAATCTAATATAGTGAGGAATGTACCAAAGAAATGATGCGAGAGGAATCACCATTCAATGCTTTACAAGGTACGAAGGGTATTTGCAAAATAAATAATAATGACACTTACAAAATCACATGGGGTAAGACTTGAACTCTACTTTGAGATCTACTGCCTCAGTCTTTTGAACTGTCCACTGGAGCATGTATCTGAAATGAGAAAGTAGCAAATATTTAATAAATTAGTGTATCACAACATTCAGAAACAATTTCCTGATTTATTTATTTACTTACAGCTTCTGCTATATCAATCCAATCCAGAGCGCTGATAAAAGCGTCGTTGGCTGAGGGCATTTTGTCCCAGTTCCAGTAGGTTATTTTATCAAACACATGAGACACATGTAAAGTACGATCAATATTTTCTACTAGTGGTTGTTTTGTCTCTTGAACGACTAAACCTTTGTACCCAGAAGGCATGACAATGTCTTTACCTAACAAGGGGCGTCCTCGAAATGATGCTTTTTTGTCTGGCAATGAATGAAACAAATGAAATAAAATATAAAACTCCCAAAAGCAATAACATTCACGTAGTTCAGAGCAGCGTTTTAATTTCAAGCCATCAAATTTGAATGGGTGATAAGTAAATAAATGACTCAAAGTTAGGTTACATGGTCCTTAAAAACTTACATTTAGGATCACTTTCGAGTGGAATTGGCTTGAAATACGACGACACATTCGCAGGACCATCAGACTTAATCCGGCAAGGCATGTAATGCACGGTGGGCTGATCCTCAGCAGGAGTTTCAGCGATTTTGGCACTGATGTTCAGTTGGATCGCCATGATCGTGTTTTGACTTCGTCTGCTGTTCAGCCGTGTATCCACTTCCCGCCGGAACGGACGATGGTGCCAACCTCACGGAAGGAGAGAGGGTGGGTAGAGTCTCCCGCGCGCGGAGTAGCGACGAGTCTGGGGTGCCGGTGGTGTCGAATGGGATGCCTACCCTCCGGGCGTGGTCTGTGAAAAGACAGGAAAAGGTGCTAAAGGATTATTTCATGATTTCCCCATTCCTCCGCCAAAGAAAACGTGTCCTCGCGCTTTATTTTTGCCTCTTTTCAGGCTCCGTGCGGCGAAATACGTTGGGGAATGCGAAAGAGAGAACCCTCGAGAGCAGGGAGGTGGGATAGCGAGAACCCTGGCGATACTCTATGCACAAGAGACCGCGAGGCAAAGAGTCACTTGTGCACGCAGTATCGCCGCTCCGGAGTGATTTCTCTTCAAACTCGGCCGAGCGTAAATTTGTGTCCGAGAAACCACTTGAGGCGTTGCAGAGCGGTGGGATGGTGATGCTGCGGTCCAGCCTCTCAAGTTCAAAGTGCACTGACGCGGCGCCGTCGTAGGCAACCCGAGGCGCGCCTGTTCCATTTTTGCCTACCGCTCCTGGGGTTCTGTGGGCCTTTATCTCACGCAAAGACACGAAAACAAGAATTCCGAAACATCCGTTTCCCGTCTTCCTGCCCCCGGAAAGTCCCCCGGTCCTGCCCGCGCGGTGGCCATTGTAGCAACGGACTGCTTTTGCCCCTTTTGACCGCAGTCAGTCCGATGGCGCGCCCGCCGCTGCCGTGAGGCTGCACTCGAGGGGCGGGCCGACCGACCGCGGACCGCGAGCCACGAACGCCCACCAAGTACTTTGGCAACCCTCGGGCACCCTCGGGGTGCTGAGGCTGATTCCGAGCCTGCTGGAATGGCTGCAGGGCGCGGGGCCCCAAGCCATTCACCGGGTAGGGGGTCAGCCCTGCACCGCCACGCCGCGCCCTGCGCTGGCGCCGTGCTTGCCCTGCGGGCCCTACGCCCCGCCCTTCACCCGAGGCACCGTTTCCCCCATTTTGGCCGTTCCTTCCTCTCGAATATTCGTCGGATTGTATGCGCTCCGCCTGGATCCGCCCCCGCGCGCTGCCGCGCCACTAAATGCTGCTTATATTGTCGACTTCCGCAATTGTTGTGCGCCATGACTGCCCCGACTGCCATGGCTGTCGCGATTGTGCCCCAGCAGCCCCGGGACTCGAGCTGGGCTGCCTCCCAGCGGCGCTTTCGTCACTCTGTCTCTCTCGCACTCGTGGGCGGTCCCGCAGGGCTCCGAGGGGTGCGAGAGAGACAGACAGAAGGCCCGCCTGCACCGGGAAGTAAGCAGCGGGCGGAGGGCGCGGGCCTTGCCTTTTCGCTGCGAATGTGGAGCGAGCGGAACACTGCCGCCAGATCTGGCCATCGCCGCAGACGCCATTCTGGTCGGGGAATTTGTGTGCGGCCTGACTGCGGCCCGGGAGCAGCCTTTGTCCGTCATCCTGATTGTCTTCCGTTTTCCGGCTGCGATTTGCTGTTTATTTCGACAAGGCGCAGCACTGCATTGCCCCGGGCCGGGGCCCGCGCTCGGCTTATTGGCTGCTTTGGCAGGCAGAGGCCCTCGCCCACCCTCGCGCAGACTAACTCCGAGAGTCATTTTCATGGTTCTGTCTCTCTCTCTCTCACACACACTCATGCGTGAGAGACAGAGCGACCAAGACGACTCTCGGAATCAGTCTGCGGCCCTGCCGTTGTTTTGACTGGTTTCCACGGATGGGCCGAACAGCGGAGGTTGCTCGGCTCTTTCATACGTTCGGCGAAACGATGAGGGTAGCTAGAGGCGGCGTGGTCCGACCGACCCGGCCGGACCCGCCCGGACCAACCCGTGGAGAAATGCAGGGAAGTCTCTCCGAGCAAGGTGCGTCAGCCTGCAACCCACACAACGCGCGTAGGTAGGCAACCCACCCACACAACGCGCGTACACGGCAAAAGTACCGCCTGGGATTCCCAGGCGCATCATGGGGAAAAGGGCCTATTTTCCAGGCACCGCCTGGGAATCCCAGGCGGTACTTTTGCCGTGTAGGTAGGCAACCCACACAACGCCTGCGCAGGTAGGCTTTAGGCTGTACACAACGCCGGTGTACGTAGGCAACCCACCTAACGCCTGCCGAAGTGGGCAACCCGCCTAGGTAGGCAACCCATCAAACGCCTGCGTTTATATAGGCAACCGAACTGACTCAACGGGGGAAATGGCAGCGGAAACGTGCCAAAGTTCCGTTGTTTGTCCAGACAGAAACACTGCAAGGGCGAGGGAGGGAAGGCGCCGCCGCGCACGTAAGTCGAGAGCGAAATATTAATTAGGAATCGCTGAATGGCTGACGCGCTGTTGCGTAACTCAGCCCCGCATTTGCAATCCACCTGCTGGCTGACTCCGGCACCACACAGTGGGCCAGAAGACCGGTGGAGGCGGCCAAAACTCTGCGTTTTGAGCTCCAGAGTCGCTAAGCAGGACTCGAACCGAACGTGTGGCCCCTCCAATGGATTGCTCTCCGAACGAGGAATCCATTGGTGGGGTCACACGTTCGATTCTAGCCCTGTTTAGCGACAATGGAGCTCAAAACGCGTCCAGAGTTTTGGCCGCTTCCACCGGTCTTCTGGCCCACTGTGCACCACTGCCTTCGTCGCTCTGTCTCTCTCGCGCTCACAGGGCTGCCCGTAGGAGTGCGAGAGAGACGTCGTCGTTGGAAACCGCCAAAGATGGTTCAGTCAGCAAGTCGCTCACAGTTTCGTGACAGTTTCGTTTCCACTCCCGATACACAATAAACAAAATAAAAAGGGCCGAAATTAAACTGGCGTCTCCCCCTGGCCCTTTCTCCTCCCAACCTGCTGTCTGCTGTCCCGCGGGGCCCGGCCCGGCCCGGGGTCTGCCTGGTCGCTTATCTCGGAAAGAGCGCGCCACCAGCGCCACCGCCGCGGTGTCACCACGTCGCTCTGTCTCTCTCGCACTCGGGGGCCGTCCCGTTCGGGTGCGAGAGAGACAGAGCGACGAGAGCGCTCCTCGGAGGCAGTCCGCCGGCTTCCTCCCCTCCTGAGTCCTGAGCAGCCCGAAGCAGCCCCGCGCCGCACGGCAAGCCAGGCTGCCAAGCCTCGGCACACAATACCGGAGTCGATGATGCAAATATTCCAGCACAATGCGAACCGGCGACACGTGTAGCCACAAGAGGCCACCATGTTCTGTGCCGAACACACTGGTGGTTGTCAATAACCCCTTACTCACGCACGCACACACACGCGCGCACACACTCGCACGCAGACCCCAGCGGGCCGCGCGAGAGCACACAGAAGCTGCAGGGGCAGTTATATCGGGTCGCGACCGTGTGACTGTAGTAGTACGTACACGACGGACTAACTACGGTGCGGCGTATTGCAACAAGACCATCAAATTTTAGATTCTTGGTCCAGTGTATTGGCGCCCACTGGCTCTGCGTTTTGTGCATTAAGTTTCCCTCCCAGCACCGGCCGCATGGAGTCGCATAGAGTCAGTACCTTCTAACGGGTAAACAACTTCAGGAAGAAACTTTAGAGCTGCTTTGAGCCCACTGATAAGAACTGTAACTCACATATTAGTGTTGTTGCTGTTGCTGTTTTTCTTGCTTCTGTGTTGTTGTTTTTGTTGTTGTTGCTTTTGTTGGATAGGTTTGCCGTGAAGGAAGCGCGCTGTGGACACACGCACACACAAGGCGCGCGCACGCACGTACTTCGCACACCCGCACAACCCACAAGTACATTACATAAATCGTTGCGGGTCATCACGAAGCCATTTGGCGATGATACGGTGTGGAGTCCTTCCTTCCTCCTTATTTTTTTCCCGTCCGCCCCGCCCCGCCCCGCCCCGCCCCGCCCCGCCCCGCCATCTGACAAGAGGGAAGCCCCTCGTAAAAGCTCAGCTCGCATCAACCTCTAACCCCCTGGCTGGCCGCGGGGCGCGCGGGGCGGGCGCAAAGGCGCGGCGGGCGCTCCAGTAAATACACTGGAAATCTCTATTCAACGCGACAATATATCACTTCATCTCGCGACCACTTTGGCCACCATTGTGGGAGACATTTCCAGAAGTTGCTGCCGGGGTGTGGGGCGGTGGGGCGGGCGGTGGCGGGGCGGGGGGGCGGGGGGGGGCGGGGTGGGGTGGGGCGGGGCGGGGCGGGGCGGGGTGGCGAAGGGGTGACGCCGAAGGGGAAGAAGCCCCGGCGACGGCGACGACGGGGGCCTCGAGATGGACGCGCCAAGTGTCGACCAACTTGTTAAATCTGTTGGCCTGAGCGCGCCTGGCTACCCGGAAGGCTGGAAGCGGCAAACTGGAAACCCCTGCACTGGAATCCTGGAGAGAGGCGCGGCGATTCGACTATACTTGTTGAGTGCGCAAGTCTATCTATGCGCACGTGCAGTATACTCGGAAACACGACAGAACAACGCCCGCGCGCGCGGCACGCCACCAGGAGCCTGATTCCGAACACGTCGCTCTGTCTCTCTCGCACCCCAGCGACGGGGATCCTGAGTGCGAGAGAGACAGAGCGACGGGGCCAACAACGGGGCGCTAATGAAAGCGATGCGACGGAGCGACGCGGTGCACCGGCATGGGCGAGGGCGTGGGCGGCAAGGAAGCGGGTAACTGCGGCTCGGCGCAGCGCAGTTACCAGAGTTTCCGGTCGACGTTTTCCGATGCGCCGCGGCGCGGCACGGCGCGCGGTCGCACTATAATGCCACCGCGATCTCGCGAACTGGCATTGAAAAAGCTTCTTCTGTCGCGGCGATGGCAGCGGATGGCCGCGGATGGCTGGACGGACGGCAGGGTCATTTGTACCACGCTATGACGGCAACAACATCAGCCTGCTCGCCATAACGACATGAGCCCATGTGGACCACAATGTCACCACAATGGCGCCAGAATGGCCTAAATGGCATTAACGGTGGAGGCGAAAAGTGAAAACCAGTGTTGTTGAACGACGCCAGGGACAGACAGCCAGGCAGACAGACAGGCAGCAGACAGACGGATGGACGGGATGGACGGACACGCGAGCTCGCCGGAGCGGTGGGACGCCGTCGCGGACAGGCAGCGTGAACCCCGTGTAGGCAGGCAACCCACCGCAGCCCCGGCGCGAGGGTTGCCTATCGCCTCCCGCACGGGGCTGAAACCGCTGAAACGCACGACTGGACGCACCGCATTCCCGCACCACAGTGGGGAAGACCGGTGGGGGCGGCCGAAATCCCGGACGCGTTTTGAGTTCCAGAGTCGCTAAATGGGACTCGAACCAACCGTGTGACCCCACCAATGGATTGCTCTCCGAACGAGGAATCCAATGGTGGGGTCACACGTTCGGTTCGAGTCCTGTTTAGCGACTTTGGAGCTCAAAACGCGCCCATTAGAGTTTTGGCCACATGGTCTCACGGCCCGCTGTGCGCACGTCCCTCGCGCATGCACACTTTTTCGCCAAAAAAGCGGAGTCTGTTGCAGCGCGTCGTCTGCTCGGCGGCGCGCAAAGCAAGGAGTCACACGGCAAGGCAGGCAGGGCGCGCGACACTAACTGTGTAACTTTGGCGTAACTGAACAGTTTCCAGGGATGCGTTTCCAAGTCCTGTTTTCAAGTGGCGTCGCGAAGAAGTGGCTGCTCGGGCTGCGAGACGAGGCGCAGGCAAACTTCCAGGCGAACTCAGCGGACTGTTTCCGGATGGTCTGTTTCGCCGCTCTGTCTCTCTCGCACCTGAACGGGATGCCCGGTGGGTGCGAGAGAGACAGAGCGACGAAAACGACTCTCGGAATCAGTCTGCAGAGCGGGCGCGACGCGCGGAAAGACGTACGTCCGCACAATGCGGAGGGAACGAGGAAACGCGAAACGCAAAGGTCAAATTCGGATAAGGCGCGGATTTCCTTTTTTCAGCCAATTAAAACAGTGCAGTGACGCGGGCGGAGCACGAGCCCGGAAATCGAGAGAGAGAGAGAGAGAGAGAGAGAGAGAGAGAGAGAGAGAGAGAGAGAGAGAGAGAGAGAGAGAGAGAGAGAGAGAGAGAGAGAGAGAGAGCAAAAGGGAAACCACACAATCACCCACGCCTCTTTCGATTTTAATCCGCGGATGATTTTGGGGGCGAGACGACGTGAGCGATTCTTGACGAGTCGTTTCGTCGCCCCGTCTCTCTTGCACGCCCCGCGGGCGCGAGAGAGACAGACTGACAGCGTGCACAGCGTCGTGTGTCCAATGTTGTGGTGCATGGCCATCGTCAAGGCCGCGTTGCCATGGAACAAGTGACGAGCGAGGAGTGCAGGGGCTCGCGGCCCTCGCGGCCCGCGCTCGCGTGTGGCGCAATGCATTTTTTAAAAACTTTATCCCTCTCGGCGGGTAAACATACAATTACTTTGCATGACAAAGAGCAACCTGTACGGCGGACAAGTGCTCCTCGCGACGGCCCGCCTGGAAGCACGCTGGAAGCACGCTGGAAGCCTGAAGGGCCGAGCAGTCCCGCGCAGCCATGGTGCGCCACCGCGGACCTGGCCTGCACCGCGTTCGAAGGCAAAGAGTGCGTTTTATCCGCCCTCTTTCTCTCTTTCTCGCACTGGCGACAAAGTCAAATGGCATGTGACAGAGACAGAGCCAACTCAAGTGCCGTTTCCGAATGGCCTGTTGTGTTGGTAGTTCGGCGGCGAGTCGTCCGGAGCGCGGCGCGCTGCCTTCGCGTCGCCTCGCGCGCCCGTGGCGGCGCGCGGTGCCGTGGAGGGGGAACGGCCAATGGGAGCGCGAGGCGGGGACTGGGCGGGAGCACACTCATTGGGCGGGCCGGTGGTGGGGGAGCCGCGTGGAGGGGGCGGCCTCCGGGATCCCTCCCGTCCCGGACCCCGGACCCTTCTTCTTCTCCCTCCGGCCAGGATCAGTCTGCAGCCAGCCACTGCGCGGTGAGGATTGCAGTGCCAGTGCAGTTCACTTAGTGTTGTTGTTGTGCCGTGGATGCACATCGTGCGCGTGTTGTGTGTGTGTTGTTGTTGTTGATTCGCGCGCTACCATGTCGACGGCCAGCTTGACCATGCAGCAGCACCAGTACGGCTACCACCAGATGCCGCACCACCAGGCCATGGACTTTATGATGCACCACCACATGTCGCCCATGTCGAGCAGCGTCAGCCCGGACTCCATGGTGGACGTGAAGCCCATGCTGTCGCCGCCGCAGCCGTCCTCGCCGGAGATGTCTCCGCCGCCCATGCCGATGTCCCGCCAGATGTCCCCCGCCGCGCAGATGCCCCGGCAGGTGTCCCCGCAGCCGCAGATGAGCCTGAGCCCCAGCCAGCCGTCCCCGCAGGGCGGCTCCCCCGGCGCGGCCGCCACGCCCGGCACCCCCGGCTCCGAGCACATCAAGCGGCCCATGAACGCCTTCATGGTGTGGTCGCGCATCCAGCGCCGCAAGATCGCCCTCGAGCACCCCAAGATGCACAACTCGGAGATCTCCAAGCGGCTGGGCGCCGAGTGGAAGTTGCTGTCCGAGACCGAGAAGAGGCCCTTCATCGACGAGGCCAAGCGGCTGCGCACCGTGCACATGAAGGAGCACCCCGACTACAAGTACCGGCCGCGCCGCAAGCCGAAGACCGCCTCGCAGCACCAGCTGGCCGGGCAGGCGCTGGGCCAGGCCCTGGGCAAGGGCATGCCCCCGGGCATGACTGCCGGCGCGGGCGGCGGCTTCCCCAGCTTCCCGCTGCCGCCGTACTTCGCGTCCTCGCCGGCCGCCGCGCACCCGCACCACCCGCTGGACATGGGGCTCACCGGCATCCCGCCCTACTTCGGCTCGGCCTTCGACCCCATGCACTTCTCGAAGCTGATGCAGCAGCAGCAGCACCAGCAGCACCAGCAGCAGCCCGCCGCCACGGCCGCGGGCAGGGAGAGTCCCCAAGGCGCCGCCGCCGCCGTCAGCTCCCTGTACTCGTCGCTGTACCACCACAACCCCAGCGTCACCACCACCATGGCCTCCACCATGGCCTCCACCATGGCGTCCTCCATGGCCTCGTCCATGGCCTCGTCCATGGCCTCCATGGGGCAGCCCAAGTCGCTGTCCGCGCTGTTCCCGCCGCACCTGTCCATGTTCGGGCACGGCCACGTCGGCCATGTCGGCCACGGCCAGCACAGCCCCGGCTCCAGCCCCGGCGAAGGCAGCCCCCTCGGCTTCCCTTCCGGCGCGCACCTCGACCTCGACCAGCTGCGGAGACCAGTGCCCGTGCACTACTAAGTGCCAGTGAGAGTGATAGTGACTGTGATGTTGGTGTGAGTGTTGTGATCTCAGCAGCAGCGTTGTGGCCAAAGACTGCCAGTCTCCTGTATTGCCGGTCATATTGTTGATGTACAAATTAGATTTTTTTCCTTTTGTTAGTGTTGTAGGTGAAAATGTTATCAGTACAGAGTTGTGCCATGGTGAAAGTGCCTGACGGATGGAAGTGCGCCCAGTGGATTACAAGCGCCGGTACATTTGGTTGGACAGATAAGCTTCGAGTTTAGGAACGAGAACACTTGGCATTCCTGTGTCATTGTCATTGTGTCATTCTCTGTGTATTCTTTTGTTGAATGTTTGCGAAGGTGGCGATTGAGTATATGTGATATAGCTGTAGTGTTCTCACTAAGTTAATTGTAATCTGCATCTTATTTCAGCTCAAAGATTCCTATTCTTATTAAATAATACTTGTAAGGCTATTATATTGCGTTGTCCTGTGCGTTGCGGATGAGTTGTTAATAAACGTCTGTTTTATATTAATTTCAAGTTTCTTATTCACACAAAATCCTTTTCCGCAAGAAAAAAATCAAATGAACGAAAAACAGAAAGAACCAAATTGAAAAAAAGTGCAATGGATGAGAAAAATAGTTTGAATAATCGATAGAATTCTACACACTGCCAAAATTATGATGAAAGAGAAATGAATGAATGAAAGAGAAAAAAAAGTTGATTCACTAAAATGATTTCAATGATAACATTTCTACTGTATGCTACACAAAAAATATAAAATAAAACTGGATTTCAGTCATTCTGAATGAAAAAACAATCGTGGAGAGTTCCAAGATTCGAATCGTCGAAGGTTGAATCCACGAGCCTTGTTTTAACGAATTCTGACTCAAACACCTGGCAAGTTCTTGAGAGCCAAATGAATGCCCACAGTGCACAATTTTCACATTCACGCTTTTCAATTCTCAACGGACCTCAACCGAAAGGGGAGGAGAAAAAAAGTCAGTTTGTCAAAAAGTACTCCAGACGTCTCATTACAAAGCCCCTGCGGCTGCAGCCAAGTAAAAAAAGAAAAAGAAAATTAAAAAAAAATTCTCACGCCGTCGTAATTTGGTTCGGTGTTTACCGTTCTCTAAACGCCGCCTTATGATCGGTCCGCTGCGATTGAGAGATTGAGAGGTTGGGTCGGCGCGCCGACGCCTACACTTGTTCCGCCATCCACGACATCATTACTCACTTAATTCGCGCAAGGCTTCCTGGACGGCCAAGAGGGCGAGGCTCGCGAGGGGGCACGAGTGGCCACCACACTCTCGTTCCGTCTCTCTCGCACTCATGGGGCGTCCCGTGTGGGTGCGAGAGAGACAGAGCGACGAAAACGACCCGGCGAGCCAGGCGGATGGGGTGACTGGCTGGAGTGGCTGGGAACTTCTCCCGCCGTCAACCGCAGGTGGTCAGGCACAACACGCCGGTACACTGGAGAAAGCTCTCTGCAGTAATCTCTCAGACATTTAACGCAAAGTTCGAAAGAGGAGGAAAGGATAACAACAGCAAAATCCAACAAAGACAACAACAACAATAAAGCGCCGGCAGTGGTATTTGAACTCAATTTGAACCCGCCGCGCGCACCACACACACGCGCGCGCACACACACACACACACACACACACACACACACACACACACACAAGAGTCCATCAATTAATTGAATTTTCCCCGTCTCGTGCGGGGGTCCTTTAGACACACAAAGGATGTGTAACACCGCAGTGCCCCGCCGGAAGTCGCTGCTCACCTCGTGCCTTTCTCTCGCGTCTTTCTCCGAGCCACACACACACACACACGCACTCACACACACACACACACACAAATGCACGCGCTCCCTGCTCAAGTTTGGCCAGAAAGAGGGGGGGGGGGAAGAAGAAAAAGGTGTAGGGTTTGAAGCTGTGCAGTGCACCTGACTCGTATCGCGAGTGGCGCGGTATGCTCAACTTGGCGCTCATTGTTTGGCCAGTAATGCACCGCGTGGTGTACACGCACGTGTAGGGGAAAAGAAGGGGGGGGGGGCAGGGGAGCGCGACGCGGCGGGGGGTGTAACGAAGTCGGTAGCGCGTAAACTTACATTCGTGTCGAGTAACATGATGGCGTCAGTGGCCAAAACGGCACTGCAAATACGTACGTACATTAGAAAGCAGAAAAAAAATCAGTTTTTGTTTTTTGTCAAAAAAAAAAAAGGAAAAGAATGGAGTGAGAGTGAGGGGGCCTGCGTGCGTGGCCGTGTGAGAAAAATGTGTAAGTGAGTTTACGTAGGGCCTTAGCGGTGGAGCTGCAGCGGTCAAAGTTCCTGGAAAATGTCGCCCGGAGTGGGTGCAAGTCGCCAGTCGCCCGTCGTCATTTTTGTGTGCGCTGTGTGTTGGTGCGAGCGCTGCGTGCGTTTGTCACTTTGTCGGTCCGGGAGTCGTGTGGTCCTTTCTGGCAGCACACTGGAAAAGCAGCTTCCAGTGACAACGCCACTGCGTAGCGTCGCACCGCACGCAGACATGTCCTCGAGGCGGACCCCTCCGGCCCCTCCGGCCGTTTTGTTTGACCAGCTACTTAGGGCCTCCCGGGCGCTAATACGGGGACACACGTTGTTTCCGACGCATTATCGACTCGGCGGGGGGTGCGCCGCTCTGTCTCTCTCGCACCCACACGGAGCCCCTAAGGGCCCCCACGGACCGCCCCACGAGTGCGAGAGAGACAGAGCGATCATCGCGATATAGCGGGCCGTTGCCAGCCGGAAGCGTGGCCACCACTGTTTTCATACAGGAAATCACTTTGTCGCGCCTTTTCCCCATCTCGTGCAGTGCCGGCATTTTTTTTCCAGCTTTGTTTGCGCAAGTTGGACTCTGTGTGTGTGTGTGTGTGTGAGTCGCCGCAGTGTGAGTGTGTGTGTGGGTTAAGTGGACTCTTTTTTGTTGCTCGCAGCTACTACACCGCTCTGTATGGGGGCCTCTGGGGCACTTTTTGCGAGTTAATTCGCTCATGACACCTCCCGCACGAATGGACTGTTACACTGTACTGTACAACAACACAGACACACACACACAAACACACGCATACGCAACTCCGCGACCAACAAAACAGGAAAAACAACCGTGAAACCGCGGAGTGCGGTGATTAGAGCCCCCCGATTCAGTGTTCACGTGTGTCTGTGTGCGTGTGTATGTGTAGGTGTGTGTGTGTGTGTGTGTGTGTGTGAGAGAGAGAGAGAGAGGGGGGGGGGGGCAGGCGCGGCGCCACAGCCCCCCGGAGTCACTTTTTGTGTGTGCACTCACGCAACGCGTTGACGCTGTGGATGCTCATTGGCACGAGCCATTTGCTGATTGAATGGCAAACCGGCGCCTCTCTCTCCCTCTCTCCCTTCCTCTCTCTCTCTCTCTCTCTCTCTCTCTCTCTCTCTCTCTCTCTCTCTCTCTCTCTCTCTCTCCTTTCGTCTCTCTCTCTCCGCGGCGCAGCGGGCGCGCGCCTTTGTATTTTTGTCTATCTGTCAGAGATCGCCATTGTGCGCGTCACACCGTGTCACACCGCGCGCATAGTGCCAGTTTTTTTTTTTTCTGAAAAAAAAAAACAACCAACAAAAACAATAAAAAGAGACAGAAGAATGCAGGCACGCGAAATGGGGCGGAGCGGGCGAAGCGGTGCGCGGATGTGCGAGTGATGACAGAGAAAGGGGGAGGGGGAGGGGGAGGGGAAAGGGGGGGGGAGGGAGATGCGCTCAGCCGGTCATTGTACGAAGGTGCGGGTGGCTGCGTGCAGTTAGAAGTGACAGTGAGGAGTGTTCTCACCAGCCGTAATGCTTTTTATCGCTCAAAAAATTAAAAAAAAAAATACACACACTTGCAAGTGCATACTTGCACGTTCACACTTACAACTGCATACTTGGCCAAGTCTGCATGATTGGCCCCGTAAGCTCCATGCCACTCATTAGGCCCTTGCAAGTGTGTACTTGGCAAGTATGCACATTGTAAGTGGGTACTTCGCAAAAAATGCATTTTTAAGTGTGTATTTTTTGTAAAAGTGTGCAGGATGATGGGGATTTGAACGCCAGTACAGGCCGAACCTAACCGAAGCAACGCCCTCTGCGACTGTGTCCACTGGCCAGAGTGCGGCCTTGACCTGCATTTCCCCCGGCAGGGCCGCACTGAACTATACGCAGTTACAAGCTGAAAGTATAGTTATTTTTTCATCACTCGTCCCAAAAAAACACGTCGTTTATTGGGCCTTTAGCCCTTCATAGAGCTTTTCATTCAGCCTTTAGTGTATAGTTTGCGTGTCAGTGGCAGTTACGCCGTTCGCGGCCCTCGCGCACTGGAGTGGGAAAAGATGAAAAGATGCAGGCCGGGCAACAAGTGCTGACCTGCCGGCTGCATCAGGCTGGCCCGCCAAGCTGGCCACCATCCCGGATGAAATAATAAAAGATTTAGTGGCCAGTCTGTCACGACCAATCAGCGGCAGGCGGCGCGCTGTTTTGGCAGGGGGCGGTGACGCCGCGACTGCTGCACTGACGCGGTGACACACTTCGGCCCCTTTTGTCGCCCGCTTTTCCCACATAGTGCACATAGTGCCCTATTCACAGGTGACCTCACCGCCGCCTGACTTAGAGTGGCGTGGCGGCGCCGGGCTGCGCATTGTTCGGCTGTTTGGCGCGGCCGGCCAAGCGAGAAGTGGGTGGTCGGAAAACGTCAGAAAACAAAAACGCCGTCAAATAGTGGGCGACAATCAAAAACTGCCTGTTCTTACAGACAGATGTAGATCTAGGCGGTGTCATTACCCCCCCCCCCCCCCCCGGGTCGCTGGGAAGGTAGGCAACAAGCACCACTGCACCCCTGTGAGTGAGAAAAAGCTTAGGAAAATCATGGATCTGTGTCTGTTTACGAGGGGCTATCACTCAAGAAATCATGTGTCCACTTCAGCACCGGAAATCTTTGGAAATCTGAAGGCTTCGCCCCCCCTCCAAAAGGCTAGAAACAAGCGAATTTCGGGCGTGAAATCGGTCAAAATCTTGTGAAATCCAACGAAATCTCGAAAACCTTGTGTCGCCAAACATCCAAAGTGACTGCCCCCCTCGGTTTGAGGGAGTCTTCATTCAACCACACACATCACTTCTGGATTTTTTTTTCTATGGCTGGAGTTTTGTTGCACCCAGCCGTGCCGTCACTATCGGTGGCGTGCCGTGCTGTGCCACCTACACTTTTGGCAGGTCCGCACGGCGCAGCTGCGGCTGCTGCGGCACGCGCCCGCCCAAAGCCTCGTCCTCGGCGAGGCTCCCTCGGCTCCCTCGGCTCGGCTCGGCTCGGCTCGGCTCGGCTCGGCTCGGCTCGGCTCGGCTCCCCGCTCGCCCCGGCTGGACTCCGGCGCTCCCGCCGCGCCGCTCGGCTCGGCCCGATACCACTCCGGACCAACACAAACCATTAGTGACAATGCCCGCACAATGCTCAGACAATGGGAGGTGCCAAACATTTGACACTCGCCGAGACTCGCAGAGGAAAGGTGAACAA